CCTTCCTTCCTTCCTTCCTTCCTTCCTTCCCTCTCCCTCCCTTCCTTTCCTTTCTTTTTCCTTCTTTCCTTCCTTTCCCCTCTTTGTTTCTTTCTGTCTTTTTCTTTCTTTCTTTTTCTTCCTCCCCTCCCTCCCTTTTTCTTTCCTTCCTTTTTCCTTCCTTTTTTGCTTCCCCCCTCCCTCCCTCCCTTCCTTTCCTTTCTTTTTCCTTCCTTCCTTCCTCTCCTCTCCTCCCTCCCTTTTTCTTTCCTTTCTTTTTCCTTCCTTCCTTCCTCTCCTCTCCTCCCTCCCTTTTTCTTTCCTTTCTTTTTCCTTCCTTCCTTCCTCCCCTCCCTCCCTCCCTTTTTCTTTCCTTCCTTTTTCCTTCCTTCCTTCCTCTCCTCTCCTCTCCTCCCTCCCTTTTTCTTTCCTTTCTTTTTCCTTCCTTCCTCCCCTCCTCCCTCCCTTTCTTTCCTTTCTTTTTCCTTCCTTCCTATTTTCCTTCCTTTCTTTCTCTTATTTTTCTTCCTTTTTTCCCTCCCCCCTCTCTCTTTCTTTGTTTCTTTCTCTTTCTTTCTTTCCTTACTTTCTTTTCTTTCTTTCCTTACTTTCTTTTTCTTTTTCCTTCCTTCCTTTCTCCTTCCCCCCTCCCCTCTCTCTCTCCTTGCTGCCCATCTGCCTGCACAACAGCGTAAAGACTGAAAACAAAAAAAAACCCTCAACAATGTTCCAATGTTTCTTCTTTTTTAAAGGGTGGGTGGGGAAGTTTTCAGGCTGTCCTCTTTGGCTCTGCATGTTAAATTCAGGAGACCAAATCTGCTCGGTGCCACCGGCCTTTGCTTCTCCAACCCTTTTCCCGATCTTAATAGCTCCCATCTGAACAGACTCCTGACCGGTGGCATCGTGGTTTGTCTCCCAAAATAGACTTTTGCGTCATCGGCGAATACTTCTGACTTCGCTGGGCCTGGCCCAGCTCCAGGGGAGCTGGGAAGGATCTGCCCGTTATTGGCCATGTTTATCTTTCAGTGGGAGAAGAGGAACCTCCGGCTGACCTCTGGCTCCCCCAGCGCTTTGCATTCCAGAGCCTCCAACAGATGTAACCGCTGAGATTCTTCCAAGCGGCTGAGAGGCTTTTTTAAAATATATTTTTAGCTCCTGTCCAGCTTCCCTTTCTTTGCTGCAGAGTTTTTGGGGACCCGGCCAAGTTTTACTCTCTCGCAGAAGCAGCAGCAGCAGCAGTGAGAGAGGAAAACAGTTTGTGCAAAGAAGGGGGCGTGGATTGAACTGGGGGGGGGGGGGGAGGGGGGGGAAAGGCTGGACAAGGGAGGGGAAGGGCTTGAAAAACAGGCACGGGAAGGCAGAAAGAAGAAAGGTGGGGGGAAAAGCATCTTTAAATTTCACAAGGAGAGTTCTCCACTCCTCTACTCGTTGCAGAAGACCTTATGCTACCAGACTTGAAATTCTAGACCTAGAAAAGCTAGAACTATGCCGCCTTCGGTCCGGTCTTAGTATGGTATATAAAATCATACATTGCAATGTCCTACCTACAAATGACTACTTCAGCTTCAACCACAACAATACAAGAGCAAACAATAGATACAAACTCAAGGTTAACCGCACCAAACTTGATTGCAGGAAATACGACTTCAGCAACAGAATGGGGTCAATGTCTGGAATCCTCTACCTGACTCTGTGGTTTCTTCCCCAAACCCCCAAAACTTTAACCTTAGACTTTCTACTATTGACCTCACCCCTTTTCTAAGAGGTCTGTAGGGGGAGTGCATAAGTGCACCAACGTGTCCCTGTCCTATTGTTTCTTTTATTTTTCTTATAAGTATCTATCTCATGTATTCAAAACTATATTTATTCTTATACATGTATCTTGTAAGCGATTGTGCCTACGGTCCTTGTCCTATTGTTTCTTTTATATATTTTTTTATCTTTCTTATATGTACCCATGTATTCATAACAATGTTTTTACTTATATCTATTATCTTGTAAGCAATTGACAAATTAAAATAAATAAATAAAATAAATAAGAGTGCAAAAAAGGCGCAGCCAAGATGCTTAGAGGGAGGGAGGCAAAAATATAATGAAGAATAATGGTTGCAGGAATAGTTTGATGAAAAGAAGGACTAGAGGGGACATGATAACAGGCTTCCAATAGTTGTGGGGGTTGCCCCAAAGAAGAGGGAGTCAAGCTATTCTCCAAAGCCCCCTGAAGGCGGGACAAGAAGCAATGGGTGGAAACTAATCAAGGAGAGAAGCAACCTGAAATTAAGGAGAAACTTCCTAAAAGTGAGAACAATTAACCAGTGGAACTGCTTGCCACCAGAAATTGTGTGTGCTTCATTGCTGGAGGCTTTTAAGAAGAGACTGGACAAATATTTGTCTAAAGTAGTACAGATCTCCTGTTTGGGTTGGACTAGAAGACCTCCCTGGTCCCTTCCAACTCTTTTCTGTTACTGTTCCTCTTGGATAAGGAGAAGTGCAACCTGGAATTAAGGAGGAATTTCCGGATAGCGAGGACAATTAATCAGGGAAAGGATTTGCCCCCGGAAGTTGTGGATGCTCCAACACTGGAGATTTTTAAAAAGAGACTGGACAATCATTGGTTTGCAATGGTGTAGTTTCCTGCTTGAATAGGGGGTTGGACTAGAAGACCTCCGAGGTCCCTTCCAACTCTGTTATTCCAAGGCTGTGTCAGTTTTCCAAAGACAGAAATGTGACGGGATAGTTTTGGGTTTATCTCTCACCTTCCTTTTTGTTTTCCATTAACTAGAAAAATGTAAAGGCCAAAGGGAAGAAAAAAAAGTCTATCTACTTAGAAAGGAGAGAGGTTGATCTAGTATTGTACCAATTTCATCCACCTGGTGCCCAAGAGTTTTTGCAATGGAGATCCTGCCATATTTCTGTATTCCATTTCAAGGCTGCAATCAGGTAGGAATGGTAGATGGAAGGAAATAGAGGAAAGAGAGGGGAAAGAAAAGAAAGGAGAAAGGAAGAGAGAAAGGAAGAAAGAAAGAAAGAAGGACGGACATAAACCAAATAGCTGCTGCCCACCTTTGTTGAAAGAAAAGAAAGGAGAAAGGAAGAAAGGAAGAAAGGAAGAAAGGAAGGAATGGAAGAAAGAAAGAAAGAAAGAAAGAAAGAAAGAAAGAAAGAAAGAAAG